GTGTCAAAGCAACAGACAGAGTTTGTCAAAGTTTATTTGTTCATTTGACAGTTAAAATATTGATTTAACTTAACATAAACTAATTTTTTGAATAAAAATGTTTATCCTATTTTGATTTAATAGCTGGAATTGGTTGAATCAAATACTGAAATTTTTAGGATTACCTAAAAAAACTATTAAATTAACGTTTAGTTGCTCTTTAAATCCAAAACATTAAATTTGTTCATTTAACAAAATTTGTTAATTTTGCATTCATAAAATTACCGTGAAGGGCGCTTCGAACACCCACGCCACGTCATTAGACGGTGTTGATCACGTGATGATCTTACATCTCGCCTCAGTTGGCTTACGATATGAGTATATAAGCTCAGGTAGCCGTTTGTTTTGGGTGTGTTCCACAGTGGAACTTCTACTACACCAAATTGCCCGACACTGATAAGGTCGAGTCAGCTGTCGGTAGGTATTTGAAGTAGGTGGAACGCACTCAAAACAAAAACTCTGGCGAGGGAAGGTTCAATTCTTTCTCTTTATATTCCATAATTTAATTAAGTGAATATGCTAAAAAGGTTACCTGGACATTTCAAGAAATTTTCCTTAACATCTTAAAAATGTAAGCACAACCATGTTTAATTAACCAGATTAGCAGATTAGAACAAATGAGGAGCAATCAGACAAAACCAGATAAATCCATTTTAGTGATTTGCAGAAGCATGTCAAAAATAAAATAATTCGTTTACTTTTGACTTATTTCTGCAAATCACTAAAATGGATTTATCTGGTTTTGTCTGATTGCTCCTCAAATATTCTCATTTTGTTCATTTGATTAATATTTGTTGTTCAATTAAACAATACAATTTGACATTTTTAGATGGTTAAGTAAACGTACAAAAACCATTGTTTGTATTAAAAGTGCATAAAGAGTTGAATTAATAATAATAATAGTTTAAGTTTAAAAGTTAAAAAGTAGTTTAAAAAGGGTATAATAAACCAAATATCACTTTATTTTTAACCAAAAGGTACATTAACCATGAGGTTAAATTTAACTAACATAAAGTTAATTTTATCATAATTGAATTCCCCACTTATTACAATAATATTATATTTTGAATGTTTTATAGTTTAATCATTGAGCCGTGTATTATTTGTAGATTGTCAATGTCTTCCGACATGCAGGCTGATTGAATACAACACGGCTATGTCAAAATCCAAATATATGGTCATAGATGAAGAAACTCGATTATGTTTCTACTACAAGGTTGGTTTTGTATTGCAAAACACGATTTATGAAGGAGTTTCACAAATTGATAGCTTTCACCGAACTTGAGTTGTTGTCAGGGTTTGGTGGTTTAAACCACCAAATAAACAGACGAGAGAAAAGTTTAAAAATATGCCTATAGGCATATTTTTAAACTTTTCTCTCGTATGTTTTTTAGAAATTACTTATTTTCTTGTCAAGAAAATTTATTACTGCATTGTAGATTGTCACCGACGACGTACGTGGATTTTAATATATTGGCTTATTAAAATATATTCTCCTAAAGTTATTTAAAGGAATATATTTTAATATGCAAATATATTTAATTCTGTGTTTTCCAATTAATAAATTAATTACCTTAATACTAGTATTAATTCTAAAAATAGTTATTTATGTCATGAGGCTGAGAAGTGAGTTTTGTAGTGATGCTCAAAGTTTAAAGTCCGACGCGTCAGCGATTTACAAAATGCACGTCTTAGTTTATTATGGTTTTATAATTTTAAATCCTTTTATGATTTATCGTGCTTAAAAATAAACATATTTTTAGATAAAAGTATAGTATGTAAAAGTATTTTGCGTACATGTGTTCCCAAGTAACATTATTGCTCTTATTGAAATCTCCAAGGTCGCTTTAAAACTAAACAATAAAACTTTTAATAAAACCAAAGGATCTTCAAGACTTCAAGGACCATCATAAACCAGCTTCTAGCCAAAAAGGGCTCTTCCTAAAAGGGTCTTTAAGACTAAATTTTAAAACTATATTAATTCCATTTAGTTTTAATTTTAAATTCTTAAAATGTTTGTGCATAGCTTCTCAAGATACGCCCCTTTTTTATTGAAAATTTGTTTTTTGTTTGCATTTGTTTTTTAATAAAATTAATAAGTAACATAGTCTGCAGACTTCTTGCTAAAAAAATTGAAAGAAAAGTTGGTGCCACCAATATATATATACAGGGTGTCCGGGAAAAGGAAGTCAATCCGTTAACCATACTGACTCCCCCTATTTTTAGTACGTGCGCCAATGACTTCCAAACGGTATTTTTTCAGGTAATCATTTATTGTTAAAAAAAATTGTCTCTTATAAAATTTTGATAAAATGATTTGTTTTATAGATAATTTGTAAAGTATGGGTCAGTCCATATCAAATCAACCAAAGGTTCTTCCCCCACCATCTCCGATTTTAATAATTTTTGGTAAATTTGTTTACCTCACTAAAAAACTCAAAAATCCCATATATGAATTTTTTTCGATGGGTGGTTTTTGTTTTATTGATTTTTGAAAATCAAAAAATTCCGATAAATTTGGGTACTTACAAAAATAGCGATATCTCGTAAACTATTAAAAGTAGAAAGGTGAGTGATGGCTTATTTTAAAGGCCTATTAAAGACCTTTTTTATGATATATCACATGACCTACATTTTTTCAAAAAAAAATTAAATTTCAAAAATTTGATATGGATTGACCCAAATTATCTCTAAAACAAATCATTTTATCAAAATTTTATAAGAGACAAAAAATTTTCAACAATAAATGATTACCTGAAAAAATACCGTTTGGAAGTCATTGGCGCACGTACTAAAAAATAGGGGGTCAGTGAGTACTGGACCCCCCTATTTTGATTATTTGACAATTGTTTTTTGTTTTGTTGGTTTCAAAAAATGTAACTATTTATATGTTTAATTGTTAAATCCATTAGAGCAGTAGTAGGTAAGTTATGTTGTTTATAAAATAAAAGGCACTTCTCTGCTGAGAAGTGCCTTTTATTTTATAAACAACGTAACTATTTATGTTGAAGTAGTGTACCGAATTTAAACTTAATATCTTATCAATTACTTGAATTATTAAAAAAAATCAGTTTTAAATTTCAAACTTTGTCACCCTGTATATCGAACATGAAGCTCTAAATTGAAAAATGGTATTATGAAAGTCTTATTGTTTTAACTCAAAGAATATATGGTTAACGGATTGACCTCCTTTTCCCGGACACCCTGTATATACATATATATATACAGGGTGTCCCACAATTAGTGCGACAAAATGAAGGTGTATTATCTAAAGACCCCCAGGAATTCCAGAAAATTGTTTAAAAAATTCTTTCTTCATTATTTAATAAGATACAGGGGAGTCATATTTTCTTTATAAGGCAACATTGCCTCATAACAAAGTAATAGTTTTATTCTTAATCATCATGACAACAAACAACAATGTTAGAAAATGCCAAATTTAAATGTCAAAATTTGTTACTTTAAGTTATAGGTTATTTATTTTACGTCAGACTGGATAGAAAAAAATACATGGAGTCCCTGTCTGACGTAAATTAAATAACCTATAACTTAAAGTAACAAATTTTGACATTTAAATTTGTCATTTTCTAACATTGTTGTTTGTTGTCATGATGATTAAGAATTAAACTATTACTTTGTTATGAAGCAATGTTGCCATATAAAGAAAATATGACTCTCCTGTATCTTATTAAATAATGAAGAAAGAATTTTTTAAACAATTTTCTGGAATTCCTGGGGGTCTTTAGATAATACACCTTCATTTTGTCGCATTAATTGTGGGACACCCTGTATATATACAATATATCGCCCCACCATATATCTATCACTATCACTTGGTAGATATCAAAGGCTTTCTTATCTATGGTAGATATGTATGGTAGATATATGGGCCCACATATTTAGAACCTTTAAAGGTTGTGGAGTAGAGGTGGGAAAAAATTGATCCTACACAAAATCGATTTTTTGATTTTAATATATAAATCGATAAAAAATGTATGTGACTTTACGGCTTAGTAAACTGTGTTAGTTTACGGTTCAGTCAACCTTAGCTTGTAATTAATATAAATATGGTAGAGTTAGCATTTAGATTTAGTTACACTTCGCTTTTGAAGATCGTTGGCGAAAAGTACTTTAAGCATTTTGTGTTTTGTTTTGGCGTTGGGGAATATTTCTAATATTTGTTGTCCTTTTTTAAGTACATGTTATTACTGGTTCCCGGTCACTTTCCCGAATGCAATTTCCCGACTGACCAATTTCCCGATAGACCATTTTCCCGACAAACCATTTTCCCGACGACGTTTTTCCCGACAGCACTCTTCCCGACAGACTATGTTCACGACAAAAATCTTATTATCCAGTTAAGAAACGTTTTTCCCGATAGCCCTTTTCCCGAAAGATTATGTTCACGACAAAAGTTTTATTATCTAGTAAAGAAAAACATACCTGGTCAAAAATGATTTCGGTATCAGCTTGTTCCTTCTGGAATTCTGTAAGGGCCAATGGGGCGGGGTCGGTTGGGTTGGGTTGTTGGGTTTGGGTTGGTTTTGAAGCGGGCGGACTCGGGACGTTGGTTGGAAAAAATATCTGCTTCTCGTCCTAAGATTGCGTCATTGGATGACGTCACTCTGTTAAAATATATTGTGTCGTTTGTGGTAAAAATTATTTATCTTAAAAATGACTTGTCGGGAAAATGGCTTGTCAGGAAAATGGCTCGTCGGGAAAACGACTTTCGGGAAAACGACTTTCGAGAAAATGGTGTCGGGAAAAATCTTGTCGGGAAAATGGTGTGTCGGGAAAATGGTGTGTCGGGAAAATGGTCTGTCGGGAAATTGGTCTGTCGGGAAAATGACTTTCGGAAAAGTGACCGGTAATCGTTATTACTATTTACTATCTTTGAAACGGGTTTCCTGTCACACTTAATAAAGGGAAAGATCGGTCAGTTGGTAGAAAAAAATCAGCTGAACAACTTAATAACGTTAGTTTTATTTATCCAAAATAGAAATGACGTCTAGAAGACCTCTGTTTCCTTCGTAATGGCAATCAGGATAAAGGGTGCGACAGTCCACTCCATATTCGCCGGCCCTTTGAGCGTCTGTGTAGACGGCATCCAAATCAGGTTCAATTTCGCCGTCTCCATAGTCGGGTCTGTAATTTAATACAACATTTAAATAAATATTTACTTTCGAAGCTCACCGAATCCCAACGGCTATGCTCTGACCCATTTGCATCTGCAAGATTATTATTTTGGAAGGACAAATCGAATATTCTTAATATATATTTAAAAATCATTTAAAGCAGTTGTTTGAGTTAAGACGTCACACCTTTATACTATGTCCTGACTCCACAATTGTACACTGAGAAAAATAAACGTATTGAGTCAATGTTCACTAATGCATCTTGTTTCGTTTTGCATCCACTTCCGAACCAGTTTCCAAAAACCTTGTAACTAAATTTCGAGCAGCGTTAGTTAATACGTGAATATCTGGATATTTCTCATTAAATCTGGACAACTCTATACGTATACGGTATCTCCTTATCCATAGCAACTCTTATCCTTATCCATAGCAACTCTATACGTATACGGTATCTCCTTATCCATAGCACTGTACCAAATATATTCTGTGGTCCATCAACATTTCTTAACTAGTTAAACCTAATAATGGGCCCTGAGTCGATCTGAACAATACATTAATATTTAACGTCATTACCATAGATAACAATGTAGGGAGGTGAAAATATCACAGCTAAACGCTCGGACACGTAAACTTAATTTTGGGTCGTAGATTACAAATCCGTGCTTGGTTTAGCTGTATCAGGTCAAAATTCAAAGGTATTGGAAACACCCTCTATAATTTTTTTTAAATTAAATTTGAGGGGACCCACACATCAGTTCCAAATTAAAAAAATAACAAATTCTTGCAAAATTTGAAGTTAATTGATCAAAAGATATACGTGTCCTCTAAGGGTTTTTCTTAGATAATTTAGGAAATTTGAAATGTTTTTTTTGCTGATTTTTTTTTATTGAGTATAATTGAGGATATTATATTAAATGAAATAAAAAGCATAAAACTGTTGCGACAAGAGGTGAATTATATTATTTTACAAATTATAATATACCAGTATACAGTGTGTCCCCGGATCGGATTTTCAATAGGAAAAACTTTTTTTAGACCTGACAGCTAAACCGAGCACGGATTTGGAATCTACGATCAAAAATTATGTTTACTTGTCCGAGCGTTTAGCTGTGATATTTCAAAAGTTAAACGTTTACCTACATTGTAATAAATCATTACAACTAATCAAAAACCGTAACCATAAAAGCTCATTATAATTTTTTTAACTTAAAATTTTTTATATATTTCGATACATCTTTAAACTGAGGGGAAATTGGTAAAAGTATAATCTGAATTAGCCATTTTAGAACAAGCAAAAACTTTTATAAATAATACATTTATTTATAAAAATGAAAAATAAAAAAGTTTTTCCTCTTATGAAGTGGGGAGGAATTGGGGACATACGGTCTACTATACATTTTGTGTCTTTTAATAATCATAATAAAATACTATTTTATTATGATAATAGGTCTCAAAAATCTAGATTAATAATTTTAAAATTTACAATTAGGTACTTCTTTCAGATCATTGAAATGGCAAACAAATGCATTCCTTGAAGACTTTCTTCATTTTAATTTGACTTCAATATTCGTTCAAAACTTTGGCAAATGCATTTGCCAAAGTATTAGATGAATACCGTAGAATCGTTTAAACAAGTAAATAAATATTTTAAAATAAGATTTTGAAAATGTTACGTTCTAAATAACCATTTTTGTTGCTTTAAAGTTTAATTTTATTTAAACCGTATAAAACTGAATATTGATTCAAGAATTTAAATTGTTTATTTTAATGGAGTTTTCGGTCAAATACTTGAAAATTAGTAATTAAATATTGTAAAATGCTTAATTTATCATGCAAAACTTAACAAATCTAAAACTCAAGACTATCGTTTGAATTTAATATGTATAAACATGCACCGAAAAAAATAATGTAGTTGAGTTAACGTTTGCCTAAATGTCATTTTTGAAAATGTTGTTTCATCAAAAAACCTATTGGATTAATCTATATTTTGGTGTCAAAGCAATAGTCAGAGTTTGTCAAAGTTTATCTGTTCATTTGACAGTTAAAATATTGATTTAACATAAACTGATTTTTTGAATTAAAATGTTTATCCTATTTTGATTTAATAGCTGGAATTGGTTGAATCAAATACTGAAATTTTTAGGATTACCTAAAAAAACCATTAAATTAACGTTTAGTTGCTCTTTAAATCTAAAACATTAAATTTGTTAATTTTGCATTCATAAAATTGCCGTGAAGGGCGCTTCGAACACCCACGCCACGTCATTAGACGGTGTTGATCACGTGATGTTCTTACATCTCGCCTCAGTTGGCTTACGATAGGAGTATATAAGCTCAGGTAGCCGTTTGTTTTCGGTGTGTTCCACAGTGGAACTTCCACTACACCAAATTGCCCGACACTCATTATCAGTGAGTCACTGATAATCAGTGTCGGGCAATTTGGTGTAGTGGCTGACAGTGACTGATAAGACCCCAATATAGGTCGAATCAGCTGTCGGTAGGTATACCTATAAAAGATAAATATATTTGAAGTAGGTGGAACACACTCAAAACAAAAACTCTGGCGAGGGAAGGTTAAATTCTTTCTCTTTATATTAATTCCATAATTTAATTAACCCAACATTAGCACAAATTATTTTAATTTAACATTTTATTGGTGTTAAGTAAATATGCTAAATGTATGTGTGCCTAAGTGCTGCCTGCAAAGGCTCCCCTTCAAATCAATCAATCAAATATGCTAAAAAGGTTACCTAGACATTTCAAGAAATTTACCTTAACATCTTAAAAATGTTAGCACAACAATTTTCGAAATCTTACTCCGACATATCAAGAATGTTTAATTAACCAGATTAGCAGATAGAACAAATATTCTCATTTTGTTCATTTGACTAATATTTGTTGTTCAATTAAACAATACAATTTGACATTTTTAGGTGGTTAAGTAAACGTGCAAAAACCATTGCTTGTATTTAAAGTGCATAAAAAGTAGAATTAATATTTTTTTTGTTGTTTAAACAGTTTATTTTTTTCAGTGTGTTAAGTTAAGCAGTTTTTGTTCGAATAAACACTTTATTTTTCTCAGTGTACCTATACTCACGTTAAAGCGATATGAATAAGCTTTCCATAGAGACCGTTTGCTTCGTGAAAAGTACTTTGAACTGCATTTTCGCAAATACTTCTTAGCAAACATTCCTGTCCATTAATACCGTGCCTGAAAATGTATTAAATATAAGTGTATATTATATAAATATTTAATGCAAAAAAGAATATAAAATACAGTTTATTGTATACCCAAGGTCTCCTTTAAGAGGATATCAAATAAAAACGAAGTAAGCCAGGACTTAATTTAATAAAAAACGCAAAAAAAAATAGCTTAGTTCCTGAGCACAATTCCGCGCGAGCCTGCTCAACTTACTGTAGAAAAGTTATAATAATAATAATACCTTTATTTCTGAGGACACATAGATACATGTATAGAAAACGTCAAAAACATAATTATAGTAAGTATACAAAATATAACAAAATAAATGAATACAATGAGCACACAATCAACAATACAATCTAATTATTAAAAACACATTAAAAGCTTGAACAAGTTAGACAGAAAAATATTCACTTAATGTATAAAAACACTTATCCAATAAAAATTTCTTTAGCTGTTTTTTAAAACTAAAGAGCAAATTAACATTTTTGATGTCTATTAGTAATTTGTTAAAAATATTAAGACCAATATGATTGGGGAAATTTTTTCCTTTCTTAAGCCTAGAAAAAGGCACCCTAAAATCACATTTTTGCCTTGTGTTTATTGGATGTACATCCTGATATTTTATAAAAGTATTCTTATTAACAAATACATACACACACATTTCATAAATAAATAAACAAGGTAAAGTTAAAATTTTGTAATCTTTAAACAAGTCACGACAGGAATAATCACAAGGAACTCCAGCTATACACCGAATCACTCTCTTCTGACAAACAAAAACATTAGCATGTATGGTTGAGTTACCCCAAAAACAAATAGCATATCTTAGTTGAGACTCAAATGGTGCATGATAAAACATTAAAATCTGATTCAAGTTTAGCAATTTCTTTAAATTTCTAAAAAAGTAAATTAAAGAGTTAAGTTTGGAGATGGGACTCTCACAGTGTGGTTTCCAATTAAGTTCTTCATCAATAATTACCCCAAGAAACTTCGTGCTTTTCTTTTTATCGATGAATGTTCCATCAATTGAAATATTTAAATTTAGGTCACGAACATTTTGATGGTTATGGTTATAGAAACGAATAAAATTGGTTTTATTCTTATTTAAACAGAGATTATTAATATTAAACCATGACAACAAGTTATCAAGATTCCCATTGCATTTTTCTTCCAAAATTTGGGTATCATTGTGAGTGAATATTAGAGAGGTGTCATCCGCATATAAAGTTGCCACCGTGTCAGGTAGTAAACAAGAGTCCAAGTCATTAACGTATAGGTTAAAAAGCACAGGACCCAATACTGAACCCTGAGGTACACCCATGTCAACAACCTGTATCTCAAAGTTGATTCCTGCAACAAAATGTCTGCTGATCAGTGTTATATTCTTACCTATCCAATATGTTTTCGAATCCCCTGTAGGCCAAAAGTCTGTCACTAGGTCGATTGTCCCTTTTTTCTCTTGAATGTCTTCCTACTACAGGCGGATAACTTTGTTCTAGTTGGGTAATGTTAGTTGCACAAGGATATTGCCATTGCAAATTCCATCCGATAGCCATCGATTGTTTGATACCCAACATAACGGGCAAGCCTACACTTATTACAATCTAAAAAAATATTAATAGTAAAAGTTAAGGTTTTTGTATTTTTTACCTGAGAAGGATGATATATTGTTTAAATTAAATACACTGCTTAACTACCTAAACTGGGTAATTATAATTATCCCGAAATTTTACTGTAATAAGGTTGTTAAATCGATCCCACTCTGTATGTTGTGTCTACAATAAACATGTTTTGCTTTTTTCAACTTTTTTGTTGTTTTTGTTGTTACTTTTTGTTGTTACTTCTTTAACATAAATATGTGGGTCATTTTCAAGAAACACCCGCTTTCAGGAAAGATCAAAATATTTTTTTTGCTTAAATTGACTTTTGGTTGGATTTTTATAAAATTTAACATTTAATGTTTAGAGTTTTGTTTACTTACATTTAAGACTGGCAGCAACTTTGTGTTGCTTTATAGCAATCCATAACATCCTTAGTTAATAAAGTAAACAATTTAGTTATATATAAATTAATTAATTTTAATCTACTTTTTTTTAAATTTGACTCATGTCCCAGACATTTTTTCCGTTGCGTTTCGTCCGTCGCGTTACCGATAGAATATTTAAAAAACATATATATGGCAACTTTTTTGGCACTCACGTGATTAACAAATGATGTTCGGACGTACACATTACCCAGCTGAATTTATTTATTCAATCAGGAAGAAGATATCGGTTGAAACAGGTGCGGGTAACGCGAATGTAACAATTGTTTGTCCGCTAAGTTACTCAAAAAAATAATAAATATAGGGTAAGAAAAAATACTATTTTTCATGTTTATGTTTATTGTATGGCACTAAAGCTCATTGAGGGTAATTAATGACTGTAATGTTTTATTATTATTTTTTAAATTTGGTTTCACAAAACTTTGTCCACTGCGTTACCGAGTCCATTACGTTACCTTATGGTAACGCAATGGAATTTAGGGTAACGCAATAGAATTTTTCGACAACAAAGTGGATATTTACCGTCGCTTTACCTTTACCCTGTGGCACCGGGGACACTAAAGTAGAATTGGCCCACAGTAATACCTGCTTGTCGTAAAAGGCGACTAAAAGGTAACCCCTGGCGTCGGGATATGGCGACCCCATCGCCCAGGAACTTGTTCCTGCAGGTAGCCAACCTGATTGACGCATGCGCTCACACACGCTCTACACCAATACCTGGCATGGACGGAAGGCTTCCCCTCTCTCCTGGGGCTAACGCTACGCGACCCCGTATCGAGGTCGAGTTGGTTCGGTAGCGGTGAAATAAAGCGGGACCGCACACCCGTGCCGCCGAGTAGTACAGGGGCCCACCCTTACCTAGCTAGTACCAGGGGGCTGCCCTATCAATCGGTGTATAATCTCGTTACATGTAGTAGTTCCAGGTAGCGCCTGGGTGAGGGCCTGCTGCATGTTCCGGGGGGCTTCACTTTTTGAAAGCGGCCGACAACCTTCCTCACCGGGATCCACGTTGTGTTATGTTGGCCCTAGGAGAAGTTGTGGGAGGCCCAAAGTCCAAAGATATCTGCCCAAATAAGTGTGTGCGCGTGTGTGTTGGTCAGGTAAACAAAACAAAAAAACCAACTATGGAAGAGTACAAAGAAACAGAAGTTAGTAACGTGCAAAAAGAACGCACACCGGAGCCCCTCAGCTCCACAGTGGTGACAAGCGAGTCGTCACCACTGACAGTAGAAGAGGTAGATCTTCTCAACTCTCCTGCTGGATCACCAGAGCCGGCCAAAGCCACTGCTCTGGAGATCAAAGCCCAAAGGAGGAAGGAGAGGACTAGAGAGAAAAATAAGAGAAAGAGAATTAAGGAAAAGGAGGCTAAAAAGGAACTGAAGAGGCTACAGGAGGACCAACGTTCTCTAGTAGTATCTGACGTCCCTCAACAGGCAACCGGATCCGAGATGGCTGACCCCCAACCAAGCTGCTCAAGCCAGGTAAGGGTAAAGCCAAATCGAATTGGGGAACCTGGCAAGCTTCCAAGAGGTCCGAAAAGGAGGGAATACCTGAGAAAGGGTAAAAACGTCCCCCCATTACCATCGGCGCCGGCTAATGCAAGGAGGCAGGAAACGGGGGCTCAAACAAGAGCCCCTGGTCCAGCTTCCAGCAAAAGGCAGAGGGCGGATAAGGGGACACCTCCGGAATATAATAAAAAGAGGGCGAGGCCCTTTTCTGATGCTAGGCGGTATGTCTCCCCCTTAAAGAGAGACATTGCCGAGGCGTCGGAGAGGGGACCGAAAAGTAGAGAAAAGGTAGAAGCTCGACAGGAGGCTACTAGTCGACCAACAATCGACAAAAGTCTTCAAGTGGTCATCTTGTCGAACAGAATTGGAGGTACTGTTCTGCCAAATGAAAGCGAACGCATCAGGGCAAGCCTGATCAGTGAAATGAGGCGAGCTATGGAGGATTCCACTAAGGGATCCTCCCGCTTGGAACTCAAATTCATCAAGTCGGGCCTTGTCGACCCGGGCTGGTACTTGGTATCGGCTAGGGACGACACCTCGATGCGTTGGCTGCTGGAGAGCTGGTCTTCTCTGACTGTTGAGGGGGTGGTTTTCACTTCGGTGAAGGCCGCCGAAGCTCCATGGCCAGTGAAGATTGGTTTCTGGCTTAGGCAGGAAAAGGTGGACCTGGCAGAGGTCACAAGGATGCTTGATCTCCAGAACCACTCCCTTAACGTGGGGAATTGGAAACATCTGGAGACCACAGGGGGACCAGGAGCATGGCATCTAGTCTTCTTGGTTAGCCAAGAGGTTGTGAAGCGCCTGGAGGAGTCTGGGTGGGCCCTCTACTTCGAGTTGGTGACCCTCTCTGTAAAGAGGGTCTCGGCTTGGAGTAGCGTGGTGCGCCAGGGCTCGTCTGGTGCTGGAACCTCGAAGCAGACTGAAGAAAACTAGGTGCTGAGGCCGTACCATGATACACTCCGTCATGGACACCATACGGGTAAGCCAAATCAACCTACATCACTGCAAGGACGCTGCTGGGGAACTGGCAAGCGTCTTGGCAGGGAGGGAGGGCGAGATTGTCCTGGTACAGGAACCGTATGTTTACAGGAAAGGGGTTAGAGGAATGGGTGCCACTGGCCTAAACATCATGGTTGGCACTGAGGAGGAGAGCAGCAGAACATGCATACTGACGTCCAAGGAACTCAATGTGCTACCACTTCCACAATTGGGGGCTAGGGAGTCAAAAAGGAATGTAGGAATCCTAAGAAGGTTGGATGGATCGTGGACGAACACCAGTGAAGAGTCCCTAAGACATCTCCTGGAAACGCACTTCCCCGGCGAAACTCCTTCCCACACGTCAACAACGGAGGGGCCAGAGACCCTTACCTGGGACTTAGGCCTTGCCAAAGACGTCGTGAAGGAGGGATCGGTGGAATGGGCAGTAAATGCGTTCGATCCATACAAGGCAGCAGGACCGGATGGAATATTCCCAGCATTGCTACAGAGAGGCTTGGAGATTCTTCTCCCAAGAATAGAACGAATATTCCGAGCCAGTCTGGCACTGGGATATGTCCCAAGAGCCTGGAGGGCAGCTAAAGTGGTCTTTATACCCAAAGCAGGGAAAAAAGACTACTCGGCTGCAAAGTCCTTCAGGCCAATAAGCCTAACATCCTTTCTTTTTAAAACATTAGAAAGGATCGTGGACCGGTACCTGCAAGAAGGGGTGCTGAAAAGGTACCCATTCCATAAGAATCAACATGCCTATAGAAATGGAAGGTCGACCGAAACGGCTCTTCATTCTATAGTGCATAGAGTCGAAAAGGCACTGCACTACAAGGAAATGGCACTAGCTGTTTTCTTTGATGTAGAGGGGGCTTTTGATAAGGCGAGGACATCTACAATCTGTGAAGCGCTACAAGCCAGAGGCACTCCCCCAGTCCTGGTTAGTTGGGTTAAATCTTCACTGGAGGAGAGGCAGGTCAGTGCATCTCTGGGAGACTGCCATTTGGACATCGGTGTGAGGGGCGGCTGCCCACAAGGCGGCTGCCTATCACCCCACCTATGGTGTTTAATAATGGATGGACTTCTGGAGAGACTGACGGCCGAAGGGCTGTATGCACAAGCATATGCAGATGATGGTACAGTCCTAATCAGAGGAGGCATTCTAGGTGTAGTCTGCGACAGAATGCAGACAGCATGCAGAATAATAGAAAATTGGTCCAAAGAAAACGGTCTGTCGGTTAACCCAACAAAAACTGACATGATTCTTTTTACCAAACGAAGGAAGATACAGGACTTCAGGGCACCAGCCATGTATGGAAGACCTCTTGAGATTACTGAAGAGGTCAAGTACCTAGGTGTTACCCTAGATAGGAAGTTAAGTTGGAAATCACACGTTGACAGAGTTGTTGACAAATCGATTGCAACTTTCTGGCAGCTGCGCCGGGTGGTGGGAAAACGCTGGGGAGTAAATCCCAAAGTCCTTCACTGGATTTATACTGCTGTCATCAGACCGCGGATACATTATGGATCAGTGGTCTGGTGGCGCAGTGTGAGCAAAACCACCATCGCTCAAAAATTGAGCAAGATACAGAGACTGGCATGTCTCGGTATCACAGGCGCAATGAGGACTACTCCAACGACGGCATTAGAGGCCTTGCTGAGCTTGCCTAATCTTTCCCTCTGGATAAAGAGAGAAGCAATGGCGAGCCATTTAAGGATGAGGGATGCCAACAATTGGTTAGGAAAAGGAATAACTTATGGTCATGAGGGCATCGCGGATATGGCTGAGAGGGAGGTCCCAATTAGCAGTATTAGAACGATGCCAGCAAAAGACCGCCTAAGTTTAAAAAAGAAGTTTTCCCTCACGATACCAACAAGAGAGCAGTGGGAGAAAAAGGATGTACACTTTGCACAAAATGCACTAGTGTGCTACACTGATGGCTCTCGTATGGCGAGTACACTGTCTTCAGGGGCAGGTTTCTGCGTGGAGGACAGGGATATCCAAAGGAGCTACCCGCTCGGAGGATATACCACTGTCTTTCAAGCGGAAGTGTTTGCCATACTTGAG